ATATATATATCGCATATGTGTGTGTTGAATATATAGATTTAATGCTGTGTATATGCATATGTAGTGTGTATATATGCGTGTATGTGTATGTATGTGTGTGTGTTATTATACATAGATACATAATATAATAATTATATATATTATATATAATATATATATACAAACAAACAAATACATACATATATACACATATGCATATACACAGACATACATATGCATATACACACATATTTCTATTTGTTCACACATATATGCGCATATATGTATATAAGCCTATACTTCAATGTGAAACTGTCTGTCTATTCTCAAATGACTTATGACTCCTGCGACCCTGTCTTACATTTGAGACATAGTTGAGACAAATTTGAGAATATGCTTTGCTTCAGCAAAGGCCATCTTCACATTTTTATCGCTTTGTTTTTGTTTTTCTTGTGTCATGATTGATTTGCGTGTGTTGTGCCAGCACGATAGAGTATTTTGCCATAGAAAACACATTGCAAGCATTCTTATGTATTCATAAATATGAAATAACTAAATAAGCGCTGACCAACGATGTAAACAAACGACGGACCTATTTTTTCCTCCGACCCTTCTCAAATTTAGTCTCAGAATTGTCTGAGACCTTTCGCGGATACGGACCCAGGTCAGTGTGGGTGGGGGAGATGAGCATTACTAGTACACGACCACCAATACAATTATTTTCTGTGCTGACATCACAGCAAGCCTGTCTTGAACCTCCCTCATCACTAAATGTGATGAGTGTAGGTTTTTGATATAGTGCACCATGAGAGCCACGGCATATTACAGAGGGAATTCTCATGAAATAATGCTAGCTTACTACAAAAGCGTCACCATCTTCAGATTTAAGACTATCCCTACTAAAGGCGAAAGTGAAGTGGGATATCCCGTTCCCAATTCTGGCCAAATCCATTTCGACTGGACTGCTGCAAGGGGGATATGGGGAATCTCATACAGAGATTTCGGAGAGATTTGAATAAGTCTTCCACACGATTCCTTATATTCACACCTTATGGCTGGCCGTCAACAAGGAGTTTAAGAATTGTTACATAAGTAGGAAGTTTTATGATTCTTTGTTTGTTCATGTTGTAAATCAGGTTTATGCAGTCTCAATACAATAAAAGGTTTAGGTCTTCATTTTCAGCATATATCAGCTGCACACATTGAGTTCAGATTTTGAGAGCATCTTTATGAATAGTCCAATATTTTGAGAACTAGGTTTTGCCAATGAATTAAAGGTTTCACATTCATGATCATTAATCAGTCAAGCTACAGAAAATTGAAGTCTTTTTACCATGACAGGTGAGAAGGAACCTGTAATATACTAAATATCTATGCTGCCTTCAATTCTATCAGTTATCTTTATTGGACTGGTTGGGCAGCGATAAAGTTTTATGTATGGTTTGATCCTTCATTTCAGAAGAGTACAACACCCTCTGGTAATAACACGAGGTAATGTATGCATGGCTCATCGCGTGAATGTCATTACGGACGCACTGGTTTTGCACACATTTTACACTATATCCATTTCCACTGCAGTACGGCTCTCATACCGCTCTGCCATTCATAGCTGTACGGCCGCCATAATGCTCTAAAATAATCTCACAATATATGATACATTGTTATGAGCATAATGATTTTTCATATCTCTTTTTCTGCACCGTCATGTTTTTATTTGTCTTACTTTTTAATTTCATTTCCATTAACCAATGCCAAACCAAGGCGAGGGATGACTTCTTCCTTCTTAAAGGCATTATCATTACTATTAACACCGTCTACTCTGCTTCCATGTTTATTATTATTACCCACTATACGACAGGAACGGACTCATCACCTCAGCGCGTTTCTCGTTCACAGCTTCAGGGTTTTAGGTCATCTAGCGGGTCCTGTAGGGTTGGATCACTCTGCTATTAGCTGCCCGTTACCTACATCTTGGGAATGCTTTATACTTGGATGTTTCCCAGGTGTGGAACAACTGTTCCCTTACAGAATTTTTTTGCATCGGTAGAAGGGGGCTTGTTATGATTTCCCAAGGAACTTCTATAGAGGAAGTGAGACCCATCTGTAATGGCAGTGCTTCAAAGTGACACATTTTAAAGACCCAGAAGAATTGGCAGAGAGCTTGCTGAAGCCATTGAGAGAAGAGGCAGTAAGTTAGTTTTATATTCTCTTTACAAATTATTACTTCTGCATTTCCTCATCCCCGTTACTCACCATGATGTCCAACATGAGAACGTTGTCAGAGAAGACATAAAGCATAAACAGAAAGCCAAATTTAGAACTTGCTGTCCAAGATCCTAGCCCTAAGGATACCTCGTTGCACATATGTGGTCCGATTAAATATAATGCCCACTACCGGACATTGGTAAGGAGGTCGCCCCCGGTCACGTGTTCTGCCCATGACCCTCACCCAAACTGGGACAGATCACTCAACGGACTGAGTTCAGCTTTTGCCATGTACTGACGCCTTGGCTTCAGTCTA